TTATCATTTTTATTTTATGTGTATGAGTATATTGCCTGCATGTATATAAGTACATTGGTGTTGTGAAATGTCTGCAGAGGTCAGAAGAGGGCATTCCCCTGGAATTGGAGCTACGGACAATTGTTAGCTACCATGTGGTGCTGGGAACCAAACCCAGGTCCTCTGCAAGAGCAGCCAGTGCTCTTAACTGCTTAGCCATCTCTCCAGCCCCTTAAGGTTTATTTTCATTTTATGTGTGTGGTCTATGTGGATATGTGCATATGAGTGCAGGCATAAATGACATTTTTAAAGGAAAAATTATGTTTTTAAAATCACTTGGCTAATTGGCATTGTTTCACACTTTTTTAAAGTCTTTGTGTCTGCCTTAGTAGAGGGTAGATACTTCCCCAAATTGCTTCTGCACTCTGTTTCTCTGCATTGCCCTTGATTGAAGTTTGTGAAGAAAATAGCTTTCCTTGTCACTTTGGAGAGATTCTCAGTTGCTCCCCAAAGAAGACTGTTGTGTTGGGGAAGTTAGAGAGAAGATAGGGATCAGAAAAGATAATGTGGAAGGGATTTTTAAAAATCCAGGTAAGAGGGGTCCGGAGAGATGGCTCAGCGGTTAAGAGCATAACTCCATAACTCAAGTTCTAGGGGATCCAAGACTGTCTTCTGTCCTCCCTAGGCATTGCATGACACGGGTGTACTTACATACATGCAGGCATAACATTCATACACATTAAAAAAAATCCAGATAACTTAGCAAAAATTAAACCCTCACAGTATCAACTATTCTGACAGTAGTTTGTGAGGCCAGGGCCAAAAAGGACAGAGGACGTGGGACTGGACTGCAGGGGCCAGGACAGAGATATGGTGTGCAGTGTTGGTGGCCAGACTTGCAAACTAGTGCCTAGACTTCAAAGGGGGACACACCAGACACCCAGAAGGAGTCCTGATTTTTGCCTCCTGTGCTGTGCGCTGCTGTGCTTCAATACTTCTCAGTATTGAATACTTCTCAGTCATAAATGGCCATTGCAGATGGCACCCAGCTTTAGTCAGTGATAAGCAAGTGAAACTGGTAATTCTTATAATATGGGGATTGAATTGTAGGAAAGCAAAGGGGAAGATGAAACTATGTACTGTTTGGATTAAGCTTAAATCCACTGTAAGCAATTTCAAAAGCCAAAGTCCGGGGTTTGGAATCTAAATACTTCTTGCAAAACCCTTATATATAATTAGCTTCCTTCTTCAGCCTTCTCTATCTCTTCTAAAACAGTCTTTTTATTTTCTTCTAAATCTGGTCACATGTTCACACTCTGAATTACTATCTCAGCTTGGCAGAGCAACAGGTCAACCCACTAGCCTCTCTCTTGGTCCAGTCCCTTGCAGGTAGGTGAGTGACTGTTTGACAACACTGGAAAGAAGGGCACTAGATGCAGCTGTTAAATGTCTCCAAATTCCTGGGCCTCTCTCGAAGAACAGGCAGAAATGGTTTTCTTATGGGGCTAAACCATTTGCCTTTAAATTTTATATCCATTTTCTGTGGAGAGTTTAATCAGAGGAGGTGGACCTCTGGGGAGCCTGGGAGGATGCATGAGTATCCTAGATGATTCTGTTTTTCTTGGATCTTCTGGAAAGATTCAAGAAGGTCTGAAACTTGGGTGAAGAGGGATCATTTCATTGTAGTGAAGAAAGGACCCTATTCTGCCCTCTGCTTTTTCTCTCAGCATCCAACCACAACCCCACTTCTCACTGTCCTTGAGGTGACTAAACTCAGCAGGTTAAGCTTTCTTTGTTGCCTCCCCCTTCCCATTTCTTCTAAACTATTAGCCCAAACAAGCTGGATCTTGTACATGGGAGAGCAGGGGAAATCGTGTCACTTCATGGTCTGCTGGAGTTATTGAGACTGTACCACAGCATTTGTGTGCCAATGCTTGCTGTGTCAACATGGGTTACCTGCTGTCATTGTAGCAGGCCATAATCCCACAATGTAAGGTATGTACCCAGTACCTCCCTGCCTCCAGGCACAAAGGAAGACCAGTCCCCTCTGCCCAGGGCAAGGGTGTACTGGGAAAAAAAATGAACCCTTAAGTGATGTAGGATTTCAGTGCTGGTGTTCAAAAACCTTTCCTGTTGGTTTTCAGCTCAAAGTGGATTGTAAATGACAACTTCATTTCTGGACCCAACAAGAAGCATAGACTCTCATCAGAAAGGCCAATTGTTAAAACATGCCCTGATCTTTCTCTCTGCAACTTCTAGAAATGACAGGATTATCATCATATAAGGTTGTTTAAACCTCTTCTAATCAGACAGGATTGTAAGAATGGGAGATGATACTGTTGGAGTGAGAGATGGTTACCAAATGAGACCTCTGAGTATTTGCTGTGTGGGTCAGGGAGGCGAGGGCATTAGTAACAAGCACATACTGTTCTCTCGTTCCTGCCCAATTCCTCTTCTGTTCCATTTTTCTCTTATCTTCTTTTCTATTCATATATAATTTATATCCTGTTTATTTATAGAAAATATGTGATGTTGCTTATAATATTATAAATGAGGAGAGTGTAGAGAAATGGAGAAAGCATTGTGGCAGGCACCGAGATACTGCGGGTGAGCACCAGTTCGGGTGGAAGGCTTCTAGAGGCCAACAGGAAGTATAATGTGTCAGGTTATGGAGTCTTTTTAACAGGAAGTATAATGTGTCAGGTTATGGAGTCTTTTTAAACTCAAAAGAGCAAGTGAGTTTTTCTTAGTGTCTGTCATATATCTTTCAGTGGCAATTCTCTTGGTTTCTCAAGGATGAGGCTGTATCTGCCCATCATGTCCCCTACCTCTTCTTCCCCAGAATACCATGAGCTCTTCAGGAAGTCCACAGGCCAGGTCATAGATGGGCCAGGTCCCTAGATGGTGGCAGGAATTGAGACTTTTGGTGTTTTTGAATATTGAATTTACTAAAGTGGCAAAGGCCAGTCAGGGCTGGCTTCTATCAGGATTGGTCTAAGATTCCCATTCTGAGAACCTGCCCAAGCGCAGATGAACCTCTAGTGAGAAGCAGAGTAAAATCAAGAGTGAATCAAGTTGTACTGGGACTTTCATTGCTCCCTTGGAATGAAACATACTTCCAAACTGGTCCCTTCTTTTTCCAGAGCCTGGACAGAAAGTACCCAGTGCTACTCTGATTAGCCACAGATTCAGTAGGTACTGACTTTTAGAAGAGACCATTGAGACTGTGTCAGGACAAAACATTTAAATCCAGGATGAGGAGGCTATGTTACCTATTATGATAACCACTACCACGTGAAAGGTGACTGAGTCCCCAGAGATGTGCTGAAGGTGAAACACGAGACAAGACAAAGTCTCTCAGTGACAATGTTGTGGTGTCAAATAGCTCCACATATAATACTGATTGCATATGGGATAATGCAAATGGGATATAGTTTACACTGAACTATATAGAATACATTATTGAAATTAAGTTTACCTCTCCATTTTACTTTCTAATGCAGACACTGAAACAAATACAATTAGATAAGTGACTCATATATTTGTATTGGACAGCTCTGCTCTAGAAAGAAAGCAAAAATTCTAGGGATTGAATTTCTGCTGTTCCCTAACTCTTGTGTTCTCTCTTTGGTTCTCTTTCAACAGATCTGACTCCACGTAGCATGAACAGGACTACATTAGTCACCAATTGCTTTATTTTTTCCCTTCCTATACAGTTTCCATTTCTTTTTACACTTGCTTACCCGGCCGTCTGCAGTACACCAGTTTCAGGTGTTTTGAGCTGTGTAGAATTTGTGTGTACAGACGCGTGCTTGGACTTCTCTCCTTCTAAGACACTGGAAGGAGGTGGTGATGAACCATCCCTTACTGTTCAGAACCATTGCCGCTGACTCGACCTCCGGGGTTGTGTGGTCTCTGGCAGTCCCTGCAGTCCACTGTCCCATAGGAACGGACCTTCCTGCTGTGCCATTCCCTGGAGGGGACAACCAAGTGCTGTGGAGGTGGAGATCATGCTCTGCCTCAACTGTCTGGGTTCCTGTAAAATAAACACATAACTTTATATTTTTAGGGAACAAAAAAGTGCTGCTATAGGGTTCAAAATTTTCATTCTGAACACTTTTCCGGAAAAAAAATATAATAGCCGCAGAGAGCACTTTGAATATCTTGGTCATATCTTTGGATCTGTAAAATACACCTTTTAGTATGGTATCTGTTAAAATGCAAAGCAAATTTCTTCAAGGCAGAAAAAGAATCTGACAGTAGCAATGTAGAATTTGCTCATTCAGACACATCTATGTAAATGCAGAGTCATAATATTCACCTCCGAGCTGCTTGCTGTTGAACCTGCAGCAACTAGTCTCTGCCGGCTCAGTTGTTTGAACATCATTCCTATACAAGTGTTGAAAATGCTGCAGAATCGGGTGAGTGGAGATGAGGCTACACCCCCTCTTCCCTATTTCCTCCCCATTTTTTTGGATTCTACATTGGGACAGCCTCTTTCTGTGGCGAAGCGCTTTGTACTTGAGATATTCCTGAAGAAATCCAACATCATTCCAGCAGCTGAAAAAGAAATCCCTCAGGGGAAAGTCATTGATGAAATTTGTGCCTGTCTGCAAATAAGTTCTTATCTTAACCCGTCATTGCAAACTGTTTATTTGAATTCTCTCTTTGGCATTAAACAGGCTTTATCTTCTAGGTACAATTAGGAAAAGAATCAGGATAAATGGATTGTTTTTTTATATTTAGTTATTACTTTATTCAAATACATGAATCTAAAGATGACTCCTTTACTTCCATCTAGGGGTATCAAAAGGATCAATTTCCAAGTAGTAAAGTTTTCAGGGAAACTGACAAAGGTTTATAGAAGTTCCTGTTGTGTGCTGCTCCTTGTTTTCACAAATTTGAGGGTGAGTTAGTAACAGTCTCAGTGAAATCATCCATCCTGTCATCATATGTGCTCAAGAAGTGTGAGCTGGCACTGTCTTCTGCAGCTGGCACCACTGGATGGAAGTGTATGCCAGGGGGATGTCAGGCTTTCTCCAGGCTGTGTGTCTTGAAAAAGTTAATGTGTGCTCATGCACATCTGGATATGTGTAAAATGCAGAGGACTGTGTGCATTGACTTCCAGATTCTTTCTATATAAAATTTCCCTAACAAAGCAACCCTGCTTTGACTTAATTTTTTTGTTAAATGCTTCACATTGTCTGTGAAGCAGACAAATGAGAGGAAAAGAGAACAAATTCTACTGAAGTATTTATTTCATAAAGACGATTTGCATTTGTTTAAATGTTTCACTCTGTGAGTTTGTTGTCATTATCTGTCCCATATAACACTGCTTGCTCACTATTTGTGCAGTCTAATGGAAGGGTCTTTGCAGGGCAGGTTTTGTAAACCTTATCAGGTAATAATAGATGCCACAGATTTTATGCTTGCTGTTCATGTTTGTCTCTGACTTCAGAAGCTAAAACATTGGCTTTTAAGAGGATTGTCAACTAAACAATTGTCATCTCTAATACCTACTGTTGTCTTTTAGACAACTGTGTTACTTTGTGCTTGGAAATTGGACACAAGCCAGTAATTTTCTTTTCTAGGCTTTCGCTAATATCCATCATAAAATGATTATTTTAAATTCTTCCCAAAGTAATTTTTCCCTTGGTACCAGTTTTCTACTTTTGAAGACTTGCTAGACCCTTTCATGTTTCGAAAAGAAACACTCATTTGTAGTTCCACATTACTTGATCTCTACAAGGGCCTTACAGAATTCCCTTTGCTTTTATTCACATAGGAAGTTGGCTTTGATGTCTTTTAAAGATAATTCTGCTAGCTGCTGATCAGCCAGTCAGTTCATCTAGCTTCTTTATAAGACCTCTAATCTAATTTTCTCACACTGTGACTAAAAGGTAGGCACACGATCGAGCAGATTATATAGTTTATTCAAGTGGATCCCTTAGTCTTGCTTTGTTTATTAACTATTTTATCAGGACAATACACTCAGGCCACTTTTTAAAAATTTAATTTTTGCGAATTTTATATAATACATCTTGATTATATTTAGACCCCTCCCCTATCTGTACCCCCCCATCCCCTCCCCCACGTAATTTCATGCATTCTGTCATATATGTTAAGGCCTACTAAGTCAAATTTCTGTCCCCAAATGTCCCTTGCTGTGAGTCCGTCCACTGGAGCCTGGTCAGTTTATCTAGTGTCATTTCATTAGGCCACTTTTTATAAAAGATCCTCTTTATTAAATTAATCACTGTTGAAAGACTGTTGCATCCTATACTCTAAATATGTAAAACATACTTCTGAACAGCCAAGTGTATGCTCATTTTTTGGTTGTGTGCTACTTTTCGCTGTATGTCTGTATGTTTTCTCCTCTGAATAATTTACTATTCACACTGCTTCTTGAAAGGTTACTCTGAGATGCTGTAAGATAATAGCCAAGTGGTTGATACAAACAACCTCTACCTGCAGTGTGGTGGGTTGCTGATAGGAAATAAGGGAATGTTGAAGATATCAATTATGGGACCTTATACCAAGTGCATTTTGATCAATTCTATATACATATATGATATCATCTCTTCAAATGCTGTACAGTTTGCTTTATTGAATGACAGGTGGTAGACAGAACAGTAAGAGGGATTAACACTTTTAAAGGAAATAGACTCATACGATTAAGAAAAGCAGAACCTGTAGAAATACTGGAATAAAGAGATAAAAAGTTTGTCTAGAATTTAGATCCAGTGACTCTTCAAAGCCCTCAAGTTAAAGTGTCATTTCTGTCTCAGGACACTCCTAAGACACCACCAGAGCTTGAGGTGGGGGTCTTATCAGTTTCATTTTCCTGAAAGAGAAACTAAGGGTAAATACAGCTCTTTAACAACCCCCCCCCCCGCCTTTGACATATGCATTTTAGAAGGGCATGTGCCATTGGAAGTCTAGGTAGAAGACAGACTGAGGAAGTTTGTCATTAGCAGGAAAGTTTGTCACTGGGCAAGTTTCACTTCATTGTCTCACTCTGATTAACTTGAGCAAGCTGAAGATTCGTCACAGTCTGAAACTGCTTCATAACACTTATAATTTTGAATTTTAAATGAGTGTTGAATAAGGGCCAGGTAACCACCTTAGGAGGTACCAGTCCATGGAGTCTGCTTAGTTACTGAAAATTGTGTATCAATTTTAAATACTTCCCATGTGTGCAGATACAAGGGGAATAGGGCTTTCTGTAGAACTGTGTCTAGTTTGTAAAGTGTCATGTGTACTGCAGATGTGTGTTCTCTGGGCTTTATGTATTTGTACAGTAGCTTTCATTAAGAAAAATTGTAGACAAACTTGTTTCTGTGGTTTGACGGGGAGAATGGCAGTGTGTATCAAATGGCTATCCTGTATGATGGTACGTGTCCCAAAAGATCTAGAAGTACCCTCCCCTGGCCCTTTGAAAATTTTGGTTATCTCCTAGGCTCTAAAATGAAGATGTATGGATACTCCGGCAGACTGCATGTTGTATAACTTGAAAAATATTAAAAGTGGAAAATAAAACTGAATTAAACTTTGACTGGTCTGGTTTTTCTCATCTGAGCCATGCTCAGCCTCTCAGGGTCAGGAAACATGTGTTGGAACAATCATCTTCTGAAAGAAATCCATTTCAAGTGAGCAGGGTGCAGGATGACTAAAGTCAGTTTTGCCCTTTTTGTCTTTTACTTTGGGTGTCTACTTAGTTCGTTTTCATTGTAAAACATAATCATCATCATCATCATCATCATCATCATAATTATCATCAAACACCTCCTTCTTCAGCTCTGAAAAAAAAATAGCTAAGGATTTTGAAAAGTTGTTAACTCTATCACTTTTCTCATCAGGGTGACAAAATTAAGGGAGGAAAGGTTTATTTTGGCTCACAGTTTCAGAGTATTTCCATCACCGAAGCAAAAGCACAGCTGAGAGGCTTAGCCATGCAGCAGAACCTGCCAACATCATGGTTTCCAGGAAGCAGAAAACCAGGCACAACATTCAAGGCCAGTCCCCAGTGACCTGCTTTAGACATCCAGGCCCCACTTCCTAAAGACTCCACAGCCTTCAAAATGCTGGAGACCAAGTGCTTAAAACATGTGTCTGTAAAGGACATTCAGAATTCAAATCATAACATTAATTGTGTAAAAGCAAATGAAAGTAAAGCTCAGCAGACCCACAGGTGAATTTCTGAATTTCTTTCTGCCTGAGAAAGATGCTTATTCTAAAGGCAGGATGTAAACCATTGGCATCCCTCATTCAAGGAATCTGAGCCCTGCTTGTGCTGAAAGCTGGCTGTGCTTTGAGAATGATTGGGAAAGTGCATTCCTGTTTCCTAGTGGTTCTTAATATTAAGGTACAGGTTGAGATCTCATGAGAAGACATCCGGGTGTGAGGCCTTTGGAAAATAACCAGTGACAGGACACAGGTACTTCCTTAATCAGATTTCTTTTTAAAAAACATTTACATTTATCTACTTTTATTTTATGTGTACAAGTGTTTTGCCTGTATGTATATAAGTACACTATGCATGTTCAATCCTCATAGAGGCCAGAAGAGGGTGTTGGATTCCCTGGAACTTGAGTTAAAGACAGTTGTTAGCTGCTGTGTTGGTGCTGGGAACGGAGCCCAGGTCCTCTGGAAGAACGGCAAGTGCTCTTAACCATTGAGACATCTGCAACTCAGTCAAATTTCTTAACAAAGATACTTTTCTACCTCCAGTCACTGGGATTACATGACCATACGTGGCATTGAGCGTGTAACGTGTTTTTGTTGTTAACAGTACGTGGGAGCCAGAAAATGAGCAACTTTGCTTTAATTAACTAAAAATGGAAAAGAAGGATACCAAGTGAATGGCCGATAAGTGTAACCGAGGACACTATAAATGGTGTGCTTTTATGCTGTTTACCCATCTTTCTCGCAATACCTCTCCACACAACTCAGAGTTTCCAGATAGGAGGTTGTTGAAGGTTATTTATGCAGTCAACTCCACTGTCGTGGATGAATATTCAGGCCAAGTCCTGTTTGTTTGTTAAGAGAAGCAGTGCTCTGAAAGAACCAGATTACAAAGCATGTTTCAGTCTCAATGGAGGTGACCCCCATGGGTCAGGAACATGGCGGCTCTGCTGTGCAGTCAGGCTGCATTGACACTTCCTGGGAGGAGGTCTTTCTCCAGGCCTCCTGTTCTTGCTCTGAACCATGCTTGGGCTTTGCTTGGAAGCCCTGAGCTGAAACATCCTCAGGACAAAGTGAACTGAAGTGGTATCTGCCAAAGCAGTCACTGGTGACGTGGGCATGGCAGGTGTAATTCTGGCATTTGTGACAGGCCAGGTCTTGTAATTTGTCTTACGTACATAATACACTAAACAGAAGTTGGAGGCACTGCTCTGACACCTGAGATGAAAATGTGGGACTGCTTGACAAGAGGCCTCCACAGCTGTGGGATTTTTGCTTGGCATTTGGTGTTCTTCGTCTACTCTACAAAGAAAACACCAATTTCTGTGTGGTTAGTTGAGCTCAGAATCATTTTAGAAACACAGGGAACCACAATTGGAGGCCCCTTGAGTGACAAGGCTGAGAACCTGCACTTGTTCTACTTCTCCCCATGTCAAGGATGGTTTGTCTTGATTTTTCAGTCCCAGGTGACCTTCTAGCACTTTCTAAACCCTCATCTCCATGATCCAATTGTAGAAGAGTCTTAGAATGTAGCACTTAAAGGAGCATTACCTATAGCAAAATGTTATTCCTACAGAATGTGTACATCAGAGAAATTGACAAATTTGTTTCGAATAACATGTGATGGCATCGTGGATGCAAAAGACCCAGAAAGCCACAGTAAGCAGTCAATTAATTCAAGAGACTATTCTGGCTGTGTGCCAGACACTGTTTTAAGTGCTTTACATGTATTAATCCATTTAATCCATCTAATAACCCATGAGGTAGGCACTATTATCTTCTTTATACAGGTGAGGAAAGGGCACAGAGAGGTTAAGTAGCTTGCCCAAGTTTCCACAGCTGACAGAGAGCTGGGATTTAAAATCTGGTTCCAAAGGCTTGTATGCTCAGTAGCTAGTTAAGACTGCCCTGAGAACAGTGACTGTGTGTGCATGCGTGCGTGCGTGCGTGCGTGCGTTTCATAGATAGACAGGTAGATGACCAGCAGCCAGCCTCAGAAAGCTTTTTAAAAGAATTTATACAAAGTTTTATACTTTAATAACTTTTTGTAGGAAACTAAGACCTCCTTATAGCTTGAATCCCTTTAAGCGTTTTAGGAAAGACTCAATAATAAAAAGGGGATACAGGGGTGCCTGATGACACTGAATGGGCAGCTAAAGGAAAGTTGCACTTCAGCAATGTCTTGACCTTGTTAGAATTTTGTTCATACACAGCACATTTAAATATTTTATTTACTTATTTTATGTGTATGTGTATATTGCCTGTATGTAGGTAGGTGTACCATGTTGTGCAATGCCTATGGAGGTCAGAAGAGGGAGTTGGATTCCTTTGGAACTGGACTTACAGGCAGTTGTTAGCTGCCATGTGGGTGCTGGGGATCGAACCCGGGTCCTCTGCAAGAGAAGCTAGTGTTCTTAACCACAGAGCCATCTCTCTAGCCTATATACAACACATTTAGAAGTGCAGCAATCATCACAGTTTGCCAACAGTGTGTTTGTAAGATTTAACATTATCCATGAGTTTTTTTCCCAAGATGTTAATAATCTTTGCATCTGAAATATATAACATTTATTTGCTTAAGTCAGAAGTGATCAGCATACATTTGCCCCATCTCAACAGGCTCTTGAAGAAGGTCTAGTGGTGTTGGATGGTGGTTCCCTCATGCCCAGGGATATGGGAAGCCTTACAGAGGCAGCTCACACATCCCCTGATGAGATCTGCTGCCCCACCTCCTGCCCTGTCATAATGATTAATAGGATTTCATTTTAGAGCTTAAGTTTTAGAAAAAGCAAACATGCCAATCATACCACACATGTGTATGCAAGCCCAGCTACAGGAAGGGGTGGGAACCAAAGTGAGGCTCCCTTACAAGCTCTCCACTTTGCCACAGACTCCCATTACCTGTGCTTCCCCTGTGAGGATTTTTCTGATGGGCTGCCAAGGACTGGCAAGGACAGGCTGGCTGCAGATAGTGTCTGGCAGACAGGAGGCTAAGTCCTTCAGCCAGTGTCTGCCCACAGCCCCTGCTGCCAATCCCAGAGTCCTTGATGCCCTGCCATGCCCTCTTCAAGGATATGCATGCAGCAGCAAGATACCCTGGAGTTTAGGTTACTTTTTAAAGTATGAGTGTTTAGTGTTTTACCTGCATGTATGTAAGTGCACCCATGTCATGCAATGCTCGCAAAGGCCAGAAGAGGGTGTTGAATTTCCTGAAACTGGATTTACAGAAGGTTGTTAACTGCCAGGGAATTCTGAGAACTGAACCCAGGTCCTCTGCAAGAGCAGCCAGTGCTCTCAATTACTGAGCCATCTCTCAACCCGAGTATAGGTTACCAGGCAATGATCCTACAGAGTTGATTCCACAACAGAAAGGACGATGGACTTGGCCCTAGGTCCAACTCTCAGCTTCCTTTCAACCAGGGATCATGATCAGGCCATTCAATCCTGAACACTCAAAGACCTCATTATGTGCACACTTAAATTTTGGAGACTTTTCTCACTGGCCTCTGTCTGCTTCTTTGTGTTGTAGGGACCAAATGTGAACCCATAGGAAAGCATTTTATAGTGGTTCTACTCAAATATAAGGGAGTGCTATTATCACAAACACCCTAGGAGAAGGTATTTTCATTTTGAATGCCATCCGTTGCCTTCTATCTATTTCCCCCAATACCTGAAGGTGAGGAAAAGATGGTGAAGGGGCATTGGCGATCACTGACTTCTACTCAATGAAATCAGATCTCTTTGTTGCAAGGATGCTATAAGGAAGTGCTACAGACTGGTTGGCTTAAAAACAGTGTATTTATTTTGTAACAGACTGGAGGCTGGAAGTCCAGGATCAGGCTTCCAGTGTGGTTGGGGTCTGGTGAAGGCTTCCTCCAAGTTGCACTGTTCTGATTTATAGTGTCTTAACATCACAAAAAGGAAGAGGGTGCTCTCTGAGAACCTTTTTATGAGCACCAATCCCATTCACAAGGGCACCATTCTGGTAGCGTAGTTACCTTCTGACAGGCCCCAGCTCCATATACCATCACACTGGCATTAGAGTTTTGGCATATGAGTTGGGGATGGGGGGCACCTTCTTCCCAACCCTCTCTCTCTCTCTCTCTCTCTCTCTCTCTCTCTCTCTCTCTCTCTCTCTCTCTCTCCATAGAGGAAAAGCAGGGATTAAGCTGTTGCATGGGTGGAGTACATGCCATGCCCTGTGAGTAACTGTAAAGAGGAGGGGTTCAAGCTAGTTTCCATGCTGTGCCTTGAGGCTTTTCACACCAGAGAGCTGGGATTTGAGTCCTGACCTTGGAGTCAAGTCCATGCAGTTTCCCATGCATGGAGGAAGAAGGCTGATAATCACAGTTAATGCCAGGAGATGAAATC